CGTGGCTGACATGGAAATTAGAGACAGTATTAGATCCAACAAAGAGCCATGTCAAATGGCCAGAAAAATAAGGGAATAAGCTTGTGGGGTACATAAAAACTGATTGCAAAGGTTTCCTTAGATACTTGAAGAGGAAAAGATTGGTGAAGACAAATGTGGGTCCCTTACAGTGAGAAACAGAAGAATTTATAATGGGGAGTAAAGAAATGGTTGGCTAGCTAAATGCAAACTTTGGTGCTGTGTTTGTGAAGAAGGATACAAATACAAGTAGTTCACTTATAACGCGATAATTGCGTTCTTGTGTGACCTCGCACTATAGAAAATCGTCATAGAAAATTACATTATAGCGAAATCGCTGTACCTATACAGCAGAAAGTTGCATCCACTATTTTCTGAAGAAGAGTCCCGACCCAAAACATCAACTTTCCTGCTCCTCTGATGCTGCCTGGCCTGCTGTGTTCCTTCAGCTCCACACTGTGTTATCTCCACTTTTCATCAATTGCGTTACAGCCAATTTGTGTTAACGAAACATGTGTTATAGCAGAATTACCTGTAACACACTAGAAATGTTGTGGGACATGGCTCAGTGAGAGGCAGGAACTAAAGGATTTCAATATTAGTAGGGAAATGGTGTCCGGGAAATTGAATCAGATTGAAGATTGATAAATCCCCAAGGCCTGATAATCTACATTCCAGAGTACTTAAGGAAGTGGCCTGAGAAATAGTGGATGCAATAGCGGTCATCTTCCAAAATTCTAAAGGTTATGAAACAGTTTCCACAGATTGTAGCTAATGTAACCCCTGTATTTAAAAAGGGAGGTAGAGAGAAAACAGAATTATAGACCAGTGAGTCTGACATTGGTAATGTGGAAGATGCTGGAGTCCATTGTCAAAGATTTAATAGCAGAACACTTGGAAAACAATGGGAGGATTGGACAAAGTCAGCATGGATTTACAAAAGGGAAATCATGCTTGACAAATTTATTGGAATTCTTCAGAGATATAACTAGTAGTGTTGATGAGGGGGAGCCAGTGAATGTGGTTTATTTGGACTTTAAGAACGTTTTTGACAAAGTCCCACATAGGAGATTAGCATTAAAATTAAATTACATGGGATTGGGGATAGAGTATTGAGATGGATAGAGAACTGGTTGGCAGAAAGAACAAAGGGTAGGAATAAGCAGATCTTTTAGCAAGTGGCAGGCAGTGACTAGAGGGGTACGGCAAAGATTGGTGCTTGGACTCCAACTCTTCACAATATATATTAATGATTAGATGAGGAAACTAAATGTAATATTTCCAAATTTGCAGATGTCACAAAGCTCGATGGGAGCGTGAGCTGTGAGGAGGATGCAGAGATGCATCTGCGTCGTTTGGACAAGCTGAGTGGGCAAATGCATGGCAGGTGCTGTTTTGTGTGGGTAACTGTGAGGTTATCCACTCTTGGTGCAAAAGCAGGAAGGCAGATTATTAGAGATAACAAGGTGTAGAGCTGGATGAACACAGCAGGCCAAGCAGCATCAGAGGAGCAGGAAGGCTGATGTTTCGGGCCTAGACCCTTCTTCAGCCAGATTATTATCTGGCTATAAACTGAGAGAGGGGAATGTGCAACGAGACCTGGGTGATTTGATTGATTTATTGTCACGTGTACCTAAGTACAGTGAAAAGCTCTGTTGACGAGCGGTACAAGCAGATCACAGTAAGCAAGGACATACAGATCGTATGGTAAAACTTAGACAGAGGCATACAGGTTATGTTGCACTGGGCATTATCTAGGCAAGATCAGCATTAGCAAGATCAGCATTATTTGAAGTTAGAGAATCCATTCACCAGTGTTATAATGGCCTGAACTTGCTGGTGCGTGTGTTCAAGCTTCTGTAACTTCTGCCTGATGGAAATGGTTGTAGAATAGCATTACCAGGGAGTGATGGGTCTTTGATGATGTTCGTGCTATAGAAAATCATCATATAAAATTGCATTATAGCGAAATTGCTATACATGTACAGCAGAAAGTTGTATCCACTATTTTCTAAAAAAGGGTCTTAACCCGAAACGTCAACTTTCCTGCTCCTCTGCTGCCTGGCCTGCTGTGTTCCTCCAGCTCCACGGCAACAAGCCATGTAAATAGTCCATGGATGGAAGGTTGGCTTCCGTAATGATCGCTGTGCCACCACCTTCTGTAGTTTCTCATGGTCCTGGGCAGAGCAGTTGCCATATCAGGCCATTATGCTTTCAATGGTGCATCTGTAGAAGTTGGTGATGTCCTCATGGACATGCCAAATTTCCTGAGCTGCCTAAGGAAGAAGTGCCTTCTTGACCGTCTCATCTACGTGGGAAGTCCAGGACAGGGTGTTGGTTATCGTCACTCCTAGGAAGTTCTGAAGCTGTCCACCCTCTCAAACTCAGCTCTGTTGATGTAGATGGAGTGTGTTCTCCCCCTTTCTTTCTGAAGTCAATGATTAGTTCTTTAGTTTTGCTGACGTTGAGAGAGAGCTTGTTCTCATTGCACTGCGTCACCAAGCCCTCTATCTCCTGTCGTGTATTCTGACTCACCGTTGTTAGCTATCCATCCTACCACAGTGGTGTCGTCAGCGAAGGTGTAGATGGCGTTCATTCAGAATTTGGCAGCACAGTCATGGGTATACAGGGAGTACAGTAGCAGGCTGAGAATGCATCCTTGTGGGGGTTCCAGTATTGAGTATTGTTGTGGAGGAGGTGCAGTTACGTAACCTCACTATGGTCTACAGGTCAGAAAGCTGAGGATCCAATTTCAGAGGACGGAGCTGAGACCAAGGTCTCAGAGTTTTGAGATCAGTCTGGAGGGGATAATGGTATTGAAAGTGGAGCTGATGACAATGAGCAGGAGTCTGACGTAGGTGTCCTTGTTGTCCAGATTCCAAGGATAAGTGCAGAGATAGGGGAGTGGCACCTGCTGTAGACCTGTTACATCAGTAGGCAAATTGTAAGGGATTGAGGTAGGCTGACAGGCTAGAGTTCATATGGGCCAAGACCAACCTCGAAGCATTTCTAGATTATGGAGGTCAGAGCCACTGTCACTGAAGGTAAGCATGCAGGTGCAGCAGGCGGTGAGGAAGGCAAATGGTATGTTGGCCTTCAGTGCAAGAGGATTCGAGTACAGGAGCAGGGATGTCTTGCTGCTGGTATACAGGCCTTGGTGAAACTGCACCTGGGATATTGAGTGCAGGTTTGGTCTCCTTATCTGAGGAAGGATGCTCTTGCTATAGAGGGAGTACAGTGAAGGCTCTTTTCTTTATTCATTCATGGGATGAGGGTGTCACTGGCTAGGCAGCATTTATTGCCCATTCCCAATTGCCATGGTGGTGTTCGAATCCAGGTCCCCAGAATAATATCTGGGTCTCTGGATTAACAGTCCAGCAATAATACCACTAGGCCAATGCCTCCCCACAATGCTGATTTGATTCCTGGAATGGCAGGACTGATGTGTGAGGAGTGACTGAATCACTTAGGATCATATTTGCTGGAGTTCAGAAAGCTGAGGGGTATTTCATAGAAACCTCTGAAATTATAAGAGGACTAGACAGAATAGATGCTGGAAGGATATTCCTGATGGCGAGTGAGCCCAGAGCTGGGGAAATTGAAGCGTACAGGGTAAACGATTTAGGACTGAGTGGAGAGAAATTTCTTGACCTAAAGAATCATAGATTCATACAGCGCAGAAGAGGCCCTTCAGCCTGTCAAGTCTGTACTGCTAATATTGTACTGCTGCCTACACCAGATCCACTTTCCCACATGAGGCACACTGCTTTGAATGTTATAACACTTCATGTGCTCATCTAAGTACTTATAATGGTTGTGAGGTTTCCTGCCTCAGCTACCCTACCAGGCAGTGCATTTCACACCCCTACCAACCTCTGGATGAAAAAAATCTTTTCTCAATTCCTCCATAAATCTCCTGCCTTTCATGTTAAACATGCGCTCCCTTGTTGTTAATCCTTTGACTAAGGAGAACAGCAGCTTTCTATTTCCCCTGTCCATGCCCCTCATAATCTTATACACTTCAATCAGGTCCTCCCTCAACCTTCTCTGCTCCAAAGAAAACAACCCGAACTTATCCAGCCTGTCTATATCGCTAAATTGCTGTATCCCAGGCAACATCCTGGTGGATCTCCTGTGCACCCCCTCCAGTGCTATCACTTCCAGAGTGCTGAGCCTATGGAATTCACTGTCACAGAAAGCTGTTGAGGCCTAAACGTATGTAGGAGTTGGACACAGCATTCAGCCCCAATGAGATCAAAAGATATTGGGGGGGTGGTGGTGGAGCAGAAATGGAATGTTGAGTTGGATGATTATATCAAATGGAAGAAAAGACTCAAAGGGCCGAATGGCCTACCCGTGTTTTTTTTTTAATTCTGTGTGACGTGCATGGTTTTATTGAGTTGAGGGAGAGGAGTTGAGGTTTACCTTGAAGATGTTGGTGCAGTTGTGGATAGGGAGAAGAGGGTGAGATTTTCAGATGTGGAGAGGTGATGGGGAGAAGGGATGGGTTTTGGGATATGGAGAGGAGGGGACGGGATTTTGGGATATGGAGAGGAAGAGATGGGGTTTCATCATGTGGACAGGAGATGGGATTTTGTGGAGTGGGCTTGGGCAAGTATGGATGGTTTGGCAGATATTGGGCGACTTTGGTTTTGAGGAAAAGAGAGAGATGGTTGGCTTTTGGTAGGCGGGGTTGAGAGTGGGGTGAGAGAAGGGGCACAATCTCGCCTTTGGCAGGAAAGGGGGAGGGATAAAATTTGGGAGGGGAAAGTGGCACAGGGTAGGAATTGGTGGAAGAGGCATTGGATAGGGTTGTGGGGCAAGGGGGAGGGGATAGGGTTGGGGAAGATGGGAAGGGTTAGTGTCATGAATGGAGGGATAAGGAAAGTGCGAGGTGTGTGTGTCTGTGCTGGGCTTGTTTTTATCTGTCCTGTTAAAGGTGTTTGTGAATTTCTAACCGGCTGGACTTCATATCTCACCAGGAGATCCAAACCACAACTGAGACCTCAGATACAAGTCTGAAAGAATTTGAGGGGGCAACACTAAGATACGCATCTTTGAATCTCGGGTGAGTGAACAGTGGCTTTTCATAAAATTCAACTTAGGAATAGGAGTTGAGGTGGACAGCAGAGAATTAGATTGCATCTGTACATCTCAAACACTGCCCTGTAAACGTGCCCCCCACTCAGCTCCCCAGCCTGTAACTTTACCTTTGCTCCCGTGCTGTACCTGTAACCATGCCCCTTACTCCCGTGCCATCTGTACCAAGTTTGTAACATTAACTGCCTTTCCTTGCCTAGCCTTTAACCATGACCTTTGCAACCCTGCCTTTTTCTCGGCTTGGAACTGGCCTTCTACAGACTATAACCGAGCCCCTAGCATGCCCCTACCCAGAGTCTGGGTGGGGTCTCACCAAGGCCTGCTGCAGCAAGAGTTTCTTCCAACTGTACTCAAACTCTCTTGGAATGAAGGTCAATATGCATTTGCCTTACTGACTGCATGCTGCATCTGCACTTGTTTTCAGTGACTGATGTGCAAGGAGGGCCCTCTGTATATCAGTAGTTCCATCTACCACCATTTAAATAATACTCTGACATTCTGTTTTTTCTATCAAAATGGATAACTTCACATTTATCCACATTATTCTGCATGTGCTATGTATTTTCCCACTCGACTTGTCTAAACTGCATTGACACTTCTTTACATTTTCCTCGCCACTCTCTCCATCTAGTTTTGTGTTCTCAGTAAACATTTGGTTCCCTCACCCAAACTGTTGGTATATATTCTGAATAGCTGGAACCGAACTTGTGTTACCCTGTTTGTCACCACCTTGCGCTCTGAAAAATATCCACTTATTCCTACTATCTGTTTCCTGTCTGCTAACCAGTTTTCATAGAAGATAGAAGATAAGAGCAAGAAGAGGCCATTCACAGTCTGTGTGAAAAAATTGACCCTCTGGACTCTTCTTGTATCTCTCCCCTCTCACCTTAAACATATGCCATCTAGTTTTAGATTCCCCTATCGTGGGGAAAAGCTGTTGGCTATCCACCTTATCTCTGCCTCTCATGATTTTATGGACCTCCATAAGGTCACCGCTCAGTCTCCTTCACTCCAATGAAAAACGTCCCAGTCTATCCAACTTTGCTGCTTATTATTTAACAAAGTTTTGACAAATTAATAAAATCCATTTTAACTTTGTAATTTCTTTCCCTCAGAGGCCAAACAGAAGAGGATAATTACAAAAATATCCTAAATACCGATGATGAGTCAAAGGTGAGGTGGTGGCGTAGTGGTAATGTCGCTGGGCTAGTAATCTAGAACCTCAGGCTAATGTTCTGAGGACATTTTGTAAACCAATAAAAAAAAATTGGAATGAAAAGCTATTCTAATAACAGCCATGTAGTCAGATGACCACATAATCACTGTCAGTTGTGTACAGGCCCTTTAGGGACAGAAATATGCCATCCTTCCAGCATATGATTAGATACAGATTAAAACTCCCTCCACTGCTTTAAACTAAAATTAAAGCTCTCTCCACACTTTTAAACAGAAAGTAAAGCTACTTCTAAAATGTCTCCATCAAACACTCCCAAGACAGGTATAGCTTGGGGATACAGAAATAGAAATTGCTGCAAAATATCAGCAGATCTGGCAGCATCTGTGGAGAGAAATCAGAGTTAACATTTTGGGTCCAGTGACCCTTCAGAATAGCATGGGGATAGGTAGAGAGTAAAACTACCTATACTCTTTTAAACTGAAATTAAAGCTCCCTCGACGCTGTCACCACCAAACATTCCCATGAGGGACAACATGGGTTAGATAGAGTATCTTTTATACTGAAGTTAAAGCTCTCTATGCTCTGTTAAATGGAAAATAAAGCTCTGTCTACTGCTTTGAAGTAAACTGAAGGTAATGTTCCCTGACACTGTCCCCACCAAACACTCTCAAGGCAGGGACAGCACGGGATCATATGGAGAGTGAAGCTCCCTCTACATTGTCTCCAGTAAATGTTTCTAGGGCAGATAGACCATGTCATTAGACACGGAATTGCTGCTTAGTTCCTCAATTTAATGAGTTCCTATTTTATCACCCTTCTGCTGGAAGTAATTGCCAGTTTGTTGCATGTTGGGGGCAAGTGATCACTTGGATTTTGCTGGTATGTTGCATTAGACAAATTTCAGGATAAATTCTTCCAGTCTGTCATTCTCAAAAGACGGTTCAACCTCTCGTGCCTTCTCCATCATGGACTGAGCTGTAACTTAACTCCATCTTGCTTCACTAACTGGAAATTAATACCTGTTTGTTCTGAGCACTACAGATCTATCTGTACAGCTTGATCTCTTACTGCTGGTATCAGGCTGCTGAATCTGTGCTGCACTCCTCCAGGGCTCATATCTTTGTCTGAGAGGCCCTGTCGAGAACTGAAGGTATCCAGGGGAGTGCTAAAAGAAACTTTATGCAATTGTGGTGTGACTCCTACATATTCCGTCCCGTTCCCACAAGCTTCATTCTTCAGCATTGTCAACCTCCCAGTTTCCATTGTTGTTGATCAGCACTAACACCCATCCATCCTTACAAGATCCATTCTCCAGCACAGGTCCTCTGCCTTCCACAAACTTGATTCTCCTGATTACTGATGTTGTACTGAATGTGCAGGAATGACTGTGGCTGTGTTTTCTGCAGTGTTTTTCCGTCCGATCCCTTGGTTGGGTAGAGATGTTGGAGGAGGACCTCGCTCCAGGAAAGAGCAGCATTGCTGTCAACAACTGTATACGACAGCTGTCCTACCACAAGAACAACCTGCACGATGCTGCAGGAACCTGGGGGGAGGTAGGTAGAAACTTTCAACAGGACAGCTGGGCCTGATCATGACCCTTGACCTAAGAATGCCTGGCAGTCGCATTTCAGCACTTCACCCACTGTCAGAGACCTAACTAAACTAGGGGCACAGTTTAAAAGCAAGATCAAAAACAGAAATTACTGGAAGAACTCAGCAGGTCTGGCAGCATCTATGCAGAAAAATCAGCGTTAACGTTTCATGACCGGTGACCCTTCCTCAAAAACAAGACCGTAAGATTAGGAGAGAAGTAGGTCATTCAAGCCATTGAATATGCTCTGCGGTTCAATGAGATCATGCCTGATCTGATAGTCTTCAATTATGTCAGTCGGAGGTGAGGAGAAATTTTCTCTGGAGGGTCCTGAGTCTTCGAAGCTTTCTTTCCAGAAAATGATACAGGCAGAATCATGGCAGAGATGGGTATCTGGGTTCAGACAGGAGAGTGAAGTTGAGGCCACAATCAGATCAGCAGTGAACGTATCAACTAGTGGAACAGGCTCAAAGGGATCGAATGTCCTACTCCTGCTTCTCATGTATGCTTAAGCTGCTGCTGATATGTAATTGGTTTCTTCAGCATCTCCTGGGTGTGGTATTTAATGGATGGCCATTGGGAGTGTGATTGATCAGAAATCCAATGTTCGTAATTTCCTCACTGAAAACATTGATCAGTGGCAGGTGGAATTTAATCCTGATAAGTGTGAGGCGATGCACAATGGAAAAAGAAACAGGACAAGGGAGTACTCAATGAATGGCAGGACACTAGGAATCTCAGAGAAACAAAGGGATCTTGGGGTGTTTGTCCACAGATCCCTGAAGGTGGTAGGACAGGTTAATAGGGTGGTTAAGAAGGCGTATGGACGCTTGCCTTTATCCGATGAGGCAGTCCTGCCACGTATAGTTATGAATAGTAGCAGACAAGCAAATAACTCATTGGAGGGAAAGGTTCCACAAATATTCCATCCTCAATGATGGGAGAGTCCTGCACATTAGTGTAAAAGATAAAGCTGAAACATTTGCAGCAATCTTCAGCCAGAAGTACCAAGTGGGTGCTTCATCCCAAACTCCTCCAGAGGTGCCACATGTTACAGATACCAGTCTTCAGCTAATTTGATCCACTCCACATGATGTCAAGAAGCAGTTGGAGGCACTAGATACAACAAAGGCTATGGGCCCTGACAACGTTCGGCCAATAGTACTGAAGACTTGTGCTCCAGAACTTGCCGCTCCCCTAGCCAAGCTGTTCCAGTACAGTTACAACATTGGCATGCACCTGACAATGTTGGATATTGTCCAGGTATGTCCTGTACATAAAAAGCTGGACAAATCCAACCCAGCCAATTACCAATAAAAACCGAAAGAACTGCGGACTCTGTGAATCAGGAACAAAAACAGAAGTTGCTGGAAAAGTTCAGCAGGTCTAGCAGCATCTGTGAAGAAAAAATCAGAGTTAATGTTTCGGGATTTATCCAAGGATTCTATGGGAAGCTAGGGAAGAGATCGCAGGGCCTTTGGCAATGATCTTTTCGTCTTCACTGTCCACAGGTATAGTACTGCAACATTGGAGAGAGGCAAACATTATTCCCTTGTTCAAAAAAGGGAATAGGGATAACCCCGGAAATTACAGGCCAGTTAGTCTTATGTCAGTGGTGGGCAAATTATTGGAAAGGGCTCTGTGAGCTAGGATTTATGATCACTTGGATAGGCACAGTTTGATTAGTGATAGTCAGCATGGATTTGTGATGGGTAGATCATGCCTCACAAACCTTATTGAATTCTTTGAAGAAGTGACCAAACACCTGGATGAAGGTAGAGCAGTGGATGTGGTATACATGGATTTAAGTAAGGCGTTTGATAAGGTTCCCCATGGTAGCCTCATGCAGAAAGTAAGGAGGCATGGGATGGGGGAAATGTGGCAGATTGGATTCAGAATTGACTGACCCGTAGAAGACAAAGGGTGGTAGTGGACAGAAAATACTCAACATGGTGCTCAGTTAAGATCTGTTCTGGGTCCTCTTCTATTTGTGATTTTTGTAAATGATTTGGATGAAGGAGTGGTCAAGAGTGGATTAGTAAGTTTGTGGACGATACGAAGGTGGGTCGAGTTGTGTACAGTGCGGAGGGCTGTTCTAGGTTACAAAGGGACATTGATAGGATGCAGAGCTGGGCTGAGAAGTGGCAGATGGAGTTTAACCCTGAAAAGTGTCAGGTGATTCATTTTGGAAGGACAAATTTGAAAGCAAAATACAGGGTTAACATACAGATTCTTGGCAGTGTGGAGGAGCAGAGGGATCTCGGGGTTCATGTCCACAGTTCCCTGAAAGCTGCCATCCAGGTGGATAGAGATGTTAAGAAGGCGTATGGTGTGTTAGCTTTCATTAATAGAGGGATTGAGTTCAAGAGCCGTGAAGTTATGGTCCAGCTATACAGAAGCCTGGTTCGGCCACATCTGGAGTATTGTGTCTGGTCGACTCATGACAGGAAAGATGTGGAAGCGTTGGAAACGGTGCAGAGGAGATTTACCAGGATGGTGCCTGGAATGGAGGGAAGGTCTTATGAGGAAAGGTTGAGAGAGCTAGGGCTTTTCTCTTTAGAACGACGAAGGATGAGAGGTGACTTGAGAGAGGTGTACAAAATGATCAGAGGTATAGATAGAGTAGACAGCCAGAGACTTTTTCCTAGGGTGGAGGAGGTAGCTATTATGAGGGGGCATAGTTTTAAAGTGAGTGGAGGTAAATATGGGGAGACGTCAGAGGTAGGTTCTTTACTACAGAGTGGTAGGGGCGTGGAATGCATTGACGGAGAGGGGAGTGGAGTCGGCCTCATTAGGGTCATTTAAGCGTCTATTAGATAGGCATATGGATGATAGTATAAGGTAGGGGTGGAGGTTAAATAGACCTTAGGTTTAGGATAAAAAAGTTTGGCACAACGTCGTGGGCCGAAGGGCCTGTACTGTGCTGTACTGTTCTATGTTCTATGTTCTCTTGGGTCCCATGACCCTTCCTCAGAGCTGATGGTGACTGGGAAAACGTCAGTTTATTTCAAACTGCTGAGCTTTTCCAGCAACTTCTTTTTTTGTTCCGGCCAGTTACCATCCCATCAGTCTACCCGAGATCATCAGTAAAGTGTCATCAACAGTGCTATTGAGCAGCACCTGCTCAACAATCACCTGCTCAGTGATGCCCAGTTTGGGTTCCACTAGGTCCATGGTCTTGATTCAAACATGGACAAAAGGGCTGAATAGCAGAGGTGAGGTGAGAGTGACAGCCCTTGACATCAAGGCCACATTTGACGAGTGTGGCATTGGGGGAAACTCTCCACTGGTTGGAGTCATACCTGACATATAGGAAAATGGTTGTGGTTGTTGGATTTCAGTCATCTCAGCTCCAGGACATCTTCGCAGGAGTTCCTCAGGGTAGTGTCCTAGGCCCAACCATCTCCAACTGCTTCAATGACCTTCCCTCTATTATAAGGTCAGAAGTGGAAATATTCATCGATGATGGCACAATTTTCAGAGCCATTCATGACTCCTCAGATTTGGAGGCATTTCATGTCCAAATGGAACAAAATCTGGACAATATCCAGGCTTGGGCTGAAAAGTGGCAAGTAACATTTGTGCCAGACAAAGACCCACTGCCCTGTGAAATTTAGTGGCATCACTATCACCGAATTCTCTGTGATCTTAGGGAATGCCATTGACCAGAAATTTGTCATTAATACAGTATCTACAAGAGTAGATCAGAGGCTATGAATACTGCAGTAAGTAACTCACCACCTGACGGAGTCTGTCCATTATCTACAATGTGCAGGTCAGGAGTGTGATGGAATATTTCCCACTTAAGTATTCTCCACAACGCACTCAAAAAGTGTGACACCATCCAGGAAAAAGCAGCCCGCATAATTGACGCCACATCCGCAAACATAGAAAACATTCAGTCCCTCCACCACAGATGCTCGGTTGGAGCAGTGTGTATCATCTGCAAAATGCACTGCTGTAATCTGTCAAAGCTCCTTAGACAAACCTGTCCAAACCCACAACCACTTCCACCTAGAAGGACAAGGCAGATATGTGGGAACGCCATCACCTGCAAATTCCCATCCAAGCTGCTCACCATCCTGACTTGGAAACCTATCACTGTTGCTTCAGTGTCATTGGGTCAAAATCCTGGAATTCCCTCCCTGACAGCATTGTGGGTCTGTCTACAGCACATGGACTGCAGCAATTCAAGAAAGCAGCTTACCATCACCTTCTCAAGGGCAACTCGGGACGGGCAATAAATGCTGGCTCCACCAGCAATGCCTACATCCCACAAGTGAATTTAAAAAAAAAAGCAGGAATGTAGAGTTGAGGTTAAAATTGTGATCTTATGAATGGATGGAGTAGGCTCAAAGACGGAGTTGCCTACTCTTGTTCTTTGTTTACAAATTTGTGAGATGGAGGGTCGTTACCGAGGCGGTGCCATATTGTCAAAGATATATTGTAGCGTTTTATTCATTCACGGGATGAGGACGTCACTGGCTGGGCCAACATTTATTGCCCATCCCTAATTGCCCAGAGGACAGTTCAGAGTCAACTACATTGCTGGGGGTCTGGAGTCACACATAAGCCAGACCAGGTAAAGATGGCAGTTTCGTCCCTGAAGGACATTAGTGAACCAGATGGGTTTTTCCTGACAATCGACAATTCATGGTCATCATTAGATTCTTAATTCTAGATTTTTTTTAATTGAATTCAAATTCCACCATTTGCCATGACGAGATTTGAAACCCGGATTCCAGAACATTACCTGGGTCCCCAGATTAACAGTCTAACAATAATACCACAAGGCTGTCGCTTCCCCCTCAATATTACTGAAGAAATGTTGCACGTTCAAAGAGTTCGTGCTGAGGGAGTGCCGCAGTGTCGGAGGGTGAGCATTGAGAGACCCCTGCACTGTCAAAGGGTCAGTGCTGAGGGAGCGCCGCACTGTCGGAGGGTCAGTGCTGAGAGAGCGCCGCACCGTCGGAGGGTCAGTGCTGAGGGAGCGCCGCACCGTCGGAGGGCCAGTGCTGAGGGAGCGCCGCACCGTCGGAGGGCCAGTGCTGAGGGAGCGCCGCACCGTGGGAGGGTCAGTGCTGAGGGAGCGCCGCACTGTGGGAGGGTCAGTGCTGAGGGAGCGCCGCACTGTCGGAGGGTCAGTGCTGAGGGAGTGCTACATTGTTGGACGTTGTGCCAGCATAGCTGCCTCTTGAGGTGTTTATTGGATCAGATGACAATTTTGCAAAAGCAGAGTTCACTTTATGATGTTACTGCTGGACAAGTCAGATCCCAGAATTAAATCTGGTTTGATAGATCAGCCTTTTTAAAATAATGAGTTAACGTGTTCGTTAACACATTCGCTGCAAAATAAATTTTTCAACCTGTTAGCCAACACCAATTTTTAGAAGTTCAAATCTAGAGAAATTACCCTTCTTAATCAAATCCTTTAACTTGCACTTCACCGATTTTCCTCCAGTTTCCTAAATGAATACTAATAAAGTTAATAAAAACCAAAAGAACTGCGGATGCTGTAAATCAGGAACAAAAACAAAGTTGCTGGAAAAGCTCAGCAGGTCTGGCAGCATCTGTGAAGGAATAAACAGAGTTAACATTTTGGGTCCGGTGACCCTTCCTCAGAACGGGTTCCTGACTAATAAAGTTAAATTTGCCATAGCTCTACCAGACCATAAGACTGCTCATTAAAGAGACACAGCTTGTTGTGGTTTACCCTGGGGGTCACCACACCTCAGACAAGAACAGAGGTTGAGAAGGTGGAACCTTTGTAGTAACCTAAGCAGATGTGGGAATTGAAACCATGCTGTCGATGTCACTATGCATCATTAAACCAGTTGTTCAGCCAACTGAATTAACCAATCGCCACTGATAAAACTGAGGGTTTAAACTTTCTCAACTTCTAATAACCTGCAGATTTCTAACAGATCTCTCCTGGTTTGGAGGCTGCACAAGCTAAATATTCCTGCTGATGACTGTTTTCCCTGAACTGTCCTGTACTCCTTTAAGGAGAATGGTATTGGACAAGAAAAAAAAATTACCTTGCTTCTGACTCAGCCAGGTGTCCTTTGAACTGTCCTGCTGACTTTAAATCTCTAGGTTTTCTAAACTAAAATTGATTCTTGATTATTCTGTACTGAAAACAGGCTAATGGCCTTCAGTGTTGATATTGACCTTTAGAAAACCCCCACCATATAAATACTCAAATAAAAGCAAATTACTGCAGATGCTGGAAATCTGAACTAAAAACATAAATGGTGGAGAAACTCAGCAGGTCTGGCAGCATCTGATCTAACTCTTCTTTGGAACAATATAAATTATTTTCCTTTAACACCCCTCAGGGGTATACGGTCTTTATTTTAAAGGAAAACTCTTCAGAATTATGTGAATAATTTGTATGAGTCTATTATATAAATGATTTGGGTGAGAATTTAGGAGGTATCGTTAGAAGGTTTGCAGATAACACCAAGATTGATGGAATAACAGTCAGTGAGGAAGGTTATCTGGGAATACAGCGAGATCTTGATCAACTGGGCCAGCGGGCTGAGGAATGGTAAATGGAGTTTAATTTAGGTAAATGCGAGGTGTTGCATTTTGGTAGGTCAACCCAGGACAGGACTTGGACAGTCAATGGTAGGGCCGTGGGAAGCGTTATAGAACAAAGAGATCTAGGAGTACAGGTTCATAGCTCCTTGAAAGTGGAATCACAGGTAGACAGGAGGGTGAAGAAGCATTGTCAGAGCATTGGGTGTAGAAGTTGAGATGTTTTGTTGTAGCTGTACAAGACGTTGGTAAAGTCACATTTGGAGTATTGCGTGTAATTCTGGTCACTCTACTATCGAAAGGATGTTATTAAACAAGAAAGAGTGCAGAAAACATTTACAAGAATGCTACCTGGACTGGAAGGTTTGAGTTAAAAGGAGAAGCTAGATAGACTGGGACTTTTTCCTCTTTTTTACTATTCATGTATTCGTTCAAGAGGGCAAAATATGTCAGCGCAGGCTTGGAGAGCCAAAGGGCTTGTTCCTGTGCTATGTTGTTCTTTGTTCTTTTTTTCCTGGCGTGTAGGAGACTGAGGATGACCTTATGGAGGTCCATAAAATCATGTGAGGCACAGGTAAGGTAGATAGCCGACAGCTGGTACGAGAGTCTAAAACTAGACAGCGTAGGTTTAAGGTGAGGGGGAGAGATACAAGAGAGTCCAGGGACACTTCTTTCACACAGAGGGTGGTGAGCATCTGGAAATGGCTGCCAGAGGTAGTGGTGGAGGCGAGTACAGTTTTGTCATTTAAGAAATATTTGGCCAGGTACATGGATGGGATAGGTATGAGGGGATATGGACCAAATGCAGGCAAATGGGACTAGTTTAATTGTGAAAACTGGGCGACACAGACAAGTTGGTTTGAAGGGTCCGTTTCCGTGCTATAAACCTCTCTGACTCTATTGAGCCATGTTTGACTGTCTCTATGGTAAAATGTACTTTGCAAAAAAGATACTAATGTACGTAAATCATGTACTTCTTATCATACCTGGTGTCATAGACAGTAGTTTGGGATCTGCCAACATTAAAAGCAGATCTAATGGTTAACTTTCTTATTACTGTTTATGGAATTTGGCTGTGTATGAAGTGGCTGCTTTATTTCTCGTAGAACAGCAGCTAAAGTTTGCATTAGCTGACAGTTGCTGGTTAAAACATTGCCTCTTCTTCCCAGGGTAAAGACATGCTGCTACTGCTTGAAGACGACACGCTGAACCTCATCGATCCCCTGGGCCAGAATTTGCTACACACACAACCGATTGTTAGCATCCGGGTATGGGGTGTCGGCCGGGACAGTGGGCGGTATGTAAAGATCACAGCTCCCTTTGTGTGCTATCATCCTGCACTCTCACTATGCTGCCTTTACCCTCAATCCATAGGTGAGCAAACTCTGTCTCAGTTCCCTGACCTTGCCTTCAACCCACCCCTCACTTCCTATCAACCCAGGAGTTGGTGGGCACTTGTAGCAGCATTTTCACATCTGGAATTCCACAAAGTTGTACAGGGCCTACTGGATCAATGTTAACAGAAGCACGTGTAATTTAAGGTGGGGATGTGTGAAATTTTAAAAATAAATAGTTTTGGATGGTGAGAGACAGGGAAGCATCAGTAATCATTGGGATCTGGATTTCCACGTACACAAATCTGAGAGTTAATATGCAGGGAATATAAGCAACTCGGAAAGCAAATACTCTGTCAACTTTCGCTAGAAAGAGATTAGAGTATGAGACCTTACTGCAGCTGTAGATAACATTTGCAAAGTCCCAAGGTATTAAGTGGTCCCTAAAGAAGAATAAATATGCCTAATTGAAAGCCAACAAAGTGTACTAAACAAGTTGCTGCGATATTTCCCCAAGAGAGAAGGAACTGAGAGACACCACTCAGTGTAGATAATCCCTGAGAGAGAGAGAGAGGGGACTGAGAGCCATCAGTGAGTGTAGATATCTCCCTGAGAGAGAGAGAGAGAGAGAAAGAGGACTGAGAGTCACCAGTCAGCATACAGGATATCTCCCTGAGAGAGAGAGGGGACTGAGAGACACCAGTGAGTGTAGATATCACCCTGAGAGAGATAGAGAGGGGAATGAAAGACATCAGTCAGTGTACAGGATATCTTACTGAGAGAGAGAGAGGACCGAGAGACACTAGTCAGTGTACAGGATATCTTAGAGAGACGGGGGGGCACTGAAAGACACCAGTCAGTGTACAGGATATTTCCCTGAAAGAAAGAGGGGACTCAGAGATACCAGTCAGTGTACAGGATGTCTTACTGAGAGAGAGGACAAGGACCATAGGACCTTTGGTAGACCATTCAGCCCCTAGAACCTGTTCCATCATTCACTGAGATCATGGCTGATCTGTGGCCTAACTCTATATATCTGCCTTTGACCAATATCCCTTAATAACTTTGCTTAACAAAAAAATCTCAAAATTAACACTGATCCAGCATCCACTGCCATATGTGGTAGAAAGTTCTAAACATCTAGCACCCTGTGTATGTAAAAGTGAGAGACACCAGACAGTGTACTGATCTGAGAGACCATTCAGTGTACAAATAACTCCCTTGGCAGTGGCGTACTGACTGTCCTGCTGTTGTGCAGTGTTAAGGTTGTTTCTTGCGTGGTGTAATGATCTAATTTGGTTTTTCTCTCCTCTGGCTGATCTGGCTGTGATGCAGTGAGAGGTATAGTATCCAAGCCTCTATTTCTCGCATCCTTCACCTCATTGTGTCATCTTCCAGTCTTCATGAACACATTTTTAATGAAGCTAGTCTTTCCTGAAATAGAATCTGCCGCATTTGTCCTAGTTACTGCCTGCCCGTACATCACATTCATTTTCATTCCTTTGCTTCCTGTGTGTGAATTCCCCTTGCGTATCTACCCTGTTATGTTGGTGTAGACTGGACGCAAAACTGTTATCCACACTCCCAACCCCAATCACCTCCAATACCTGTAGCCTCAAGTCCTATTTCACCCTCATTGTGTTCTTCTGTGTTAGCACACAGTAGAAGTTTGTTGTTGACTGAATGTATTGTCTGTGATTTAGTGAGGAATAACAGTCTAAACACAGAGTCAGAAGTTCATAAGTTGAAACCCCACTCCAGAAACAAGGACAAAATCCAGGCTTCCACTCAGTTCAGTACTGAGGGACTCTGTCAGAGGGTCACCTTTCTGGCGAGGTCCCATGTCTCTCTTCATGGGTGTGAGAATTACCATTGAACTATTTCACATTAAAGCAGGATGTTTTCTGTGGTGCCGGGATCCATATTTATCCCCCAATTAACAGCAGAAATATAAATTACCTATTGGTTGCCACATTGTTGTTTGTGGAAGTTTGCAGTGAGCCATTTGGCTGCCACATTTTCTGCAGCAGTAACTGCACTTCAAAACACACTTCATTGGCTGTGAAGCACTTTGGGGTTTCCTAAGATGGTGAAAGGTGATGTTTGACATGCAGTTCTTGCCTTTCTTTATTTTGAAGTTTCTGTAATTCCTAGCCTTGTAATATTAGTGTTACTTCTATTGCTCCTAATGAGGAGACAGTGTCTACACGTACTCTGCTTATTCAACACAACCTAAGTGGATTCAGGTTATAAGTTCAGTTTCTGTCACTTATCCATTTTATCTCTCTCCAGGTATTTTAATAAGTTCTGTTTTATTTTAGGGATTTTGCCTATGTCGCCAGAGACAAACTGACGCGTGTACTGAAATGTCACGTATTCCGCTGTGACCTGCCGGCAAAGGCCATTGCCACCAGACTGCATGAAATCTGCTCAAAGGTATTGATCACCCACAGTCACACTTGCTGGTCTGTGAGTGAACCTGACCAGCCCAGGTACACATAGTCCATGGGCCATACTTGTGTCATTGGGGCTAACTGAGAGCTTGCTTTTTATACTTGGTTAACTGCACAACCTCCTCTTGTTAATATATCCAGAATAGATTCTCAGGTTAAGCAGAAAGATTGACACTTATCTATCCATTAAATCCATACGTTACACAAATATTGAAAATACTTTAACAATGAATTGCTTTCACGTGGAGAGACACTAAAATAAGCACAGCAGGATTCCACCAACAAAAATTAAATAAATAACCAATTTGTTTTCATCTTCCGGAAAGAAATTTAAAGTAAGGGCTGCATATGTTTCCTCAGATCAATATAAAATGTCACTATTTCGTAGAGGAACAATGAAGTGCCCCCCCAGCATCCTGGCCATTGGTTATCCCTCAGTCAACATCGTTAAAACAGATTAGCTGCCTGTTATATATAGATTTATGGGATCTTGTAGTGCACACTTTGGCATTTTTAAAAAATTCATTCATGGAATGATGGTGTTGCTGATGGGTCTGGAGTCACATGTAGGCCAGAGAAGGTGAGAATGGCAAATTAGTGAACCAGATGGGTTTTTGCTCAAAATCAACAATGGATTTGTGGTCGTCATTAGACTCTTAATTCCAGATTTTTATTGAATTCAAATTCTACCATCTCCCATGGCAGGATTCAAACACAGGTCCCCAGACCATTACCTGGATCTCCGGATTAACTGCAGCAATTATACCCCTAGGCCATCACGCCGTGCCCCCCCCCCCCCACCCAAAAAAAAATTCTGTCATGTTTCTCCCCACATTAGAGCAACGACTGCACTTTAAAATACTCCATTGGCTCTAAAGGACTTTGGGACATCCTGAAGGAAGCAAAGGATAAACTAGGTAACTACAGGCCACTCAGTCTAACCTCAGTGATGGGGAAACTATTGAAAGCAATTCTGAGGGATAGAATTAATCTGCATTTAGAGAGTCAGGGATTAATCAAGTACAGTTGGCATGGTCTTGTTAAGGCGAGGTTGTATCTGACCAACTTGATTGTATTTTTCAAAGAGGTTACTGGATATATAGGTGAAGGCTACATCAAAAGCCTTGCCTACTTGGACTTCAGCGAGGCTTTTGATAAGGTCCCACATGAGAGACTGATAGCAAAGGTTAGAGCACATGGAATCCAAGGAAATTTGGCAAATTGGATCCACAACTGGCTGAGCAGCAGGAAGCAGCGAGTGACAGTTGAGGGTGATTTTGTGACTAGAAGCCTGTGTCCAGTGGGATCCCACAGGGGTCAGTGTTGGGGCCCTTGCTGTTTGTGGTTCATAAAAATAATTTAGACTTGAATGTAGGAAGGTTAATTAGTAAGTTTGCAGATGATACAAAAATTATTTGAGTGTTAAATAGTGAGGAGGACAGCCATAGACTACAAGAGGATATATATGTGCTAGGCAGATCAATTTACCAATATAAAATATAATTCAATCCAGACATATGTGAGTGATACACCTAAACTAGGCAAGGGAATACATGATGAACAGTAGGGCCCTGGGCAGCATCGAGGATTGGAGGTACCTTGATGTGTATCTACACCGGTACCTTACAATATCATTCAGATGGATAAAGTGGTTAAGAAGGCATGTGGTACATTGGCCTTTATTAGTCGAGGCATCAAGGTTAAGGGCAGGGGGGTGATGCTGGAACTGTATAGAATGTGAGTTAGTTCACAGCTAGAGTATTGTGTGCAGTTTTGGAATCCACATTATGGGAGGGATATGAGTATACTGAGGAGGGTACAGAGGAGATTTACCAGGATGTTACCTGTGCTAGAGAATTTCAGTTATGAAGAGAGATTGAACAGACTGGGAGATAGCAAGAACTGGAGATGCTGGAGTAAGAAACAACACAGTTTCATATCAGACATGGATTCACCTGTACATCCGTCAACTTGGTCTACTGTATCGACTGTTCCTGATGTGGACTCCTCCATATCAGTGAGACCAAGCGTAGACTCTGAGACCGTTTCATAGAGCATCTGCACGCTGTTCGCGGCAAGTGACAACACTTTCTGGTACCAACCATTTTAACGCCCCCTCCCACTCCCTGGGTGACATGTCCATTCTGGGCCTTTTCCAGTGTCACACTGACACCACCCGGAAACTGGAGGAGCAGCACCTCATATTCCACCTCAGGAGCCTACAGCCCAATGGCCTAAGTCTGGAATTCACCAGTTTTAAAATCTCTCCAGCCCCGGCTTCATCCTGGGTCCAGTACTCCCTCTCATCCCCGCCTCCGTGACCTGACACAACCTGTCCATCTTCTCTCCCACCTATCCACCCCTCCAATCCCACTGACCAATCCCCCCATTCCCTACCTGCACTCACCGATCATCATCCCACCTACTTAACCCAGCGCTACCCCTCCTCTCTCTATTTATTTCCCAGCTCCCTTCCCCCTCCCCATTTCTGAAGAAGGATCCTGACCCGAAACGTCAACTTTCCTACTCCTCTGTTGCTGCCTGGCCTGTTGTGTTCCTCGAGCTCTACACTGTTGTCTTGAACAGACTGGGGTTGTTTTCTTCCAGAGTAGAGGAGATTAAGAGGCGACATGACTGAGATGTATAAAATTATGAGGGACATAGATAAGATAATAACTTCTGCCCTAGATAGAGGGATCAGTGACTACAGAGCATAGGTTTAAGGTAAGGGGCAAGAGGTTTAGAGGAGATGTGAGAAAAAAACATTTTCACCCAGAGGGTGGGAGTCTGGAACTCACTGCCTGTAAGGGTGGGAGAAGTAGAAACCCTCAGAACATTTAAGTATTTAACTGTACATTTGCAATGCCAAGGGAGACAAGGCAGTAGACCAAGTGCTGGAAAATGGGGTGAGAATTGTTAGGTCGTTGTTTTTGGCCAATGCAAACATGATGGGTCACAGGGCCTTTTTCTGTGCTGTTGATCTTGCGTATAAGTCTGGAAGGTGTTATGGAAATGTAAGCTTTTCTTTTAGTTTTGGCAAGCCAGACTTTGCATTGATATTGATACTCCATATAACCTTAGTTTAAAAGTCTCACCTGAAGGCTGGTACCTTCTGCAGTGCAGCATTCCCCTCAGCACCACAACGGGCTGTTGAGTTAGACAACGATTTCCAGCCTTGTAGTGGGATCCAATCAGTGCCATGTGTATAATTAAATGCGAAGCAACAGTCGAGAATTGTTACCAGCTTTTAACAGGTATATTTGCTATGGGAGATGCAAAATAAAGCTTGGAGTTCTAGAGAAGATAGAGAGAAGTTTTTTCAGTGGCAAAAGGACGATGGTAACAAGAGGTTAGAGATTTAAACTATTTAGCAAAAAACTTGGTCAGGAGTTGAGAAGTTTTTTTTAAACTCTGGGAATTGTCATGATCTGGAATGTTCTGCCTGAAATGGGTGGAGCAAATTCAATAACTTTTCTGAAGTGAATAAAAGAAAAACTTGCATTTACTAGTTTCTGACATGACCACTAAATATCCCAAATTGCTTTACAACCAATGAAGTGCTTTGGGAAATATAGTCACTATAGTAGAGTAGGCAGCAGGTAATGGATAAATATAGAGGGGGTTCTTGGCAAAGGGACAAAAGACTAATTGACCAAATCTCTCAAAGAATGAGCTCAGGCACTGTGTGCCAGACTTCTTTCTGTACTATCTGATTTTAAGAAGTGACAGGTGTACTGGATTCTCAGTTCTAATGCAGGCTGCTGAGATAGAGTCAGCGAGAAGGGGAACCTTGATTGGGGGACTTGTAACATCATTTGTACTGAGCAGGCTGGAGACACCCAGTAGATAAATGTACTAACACCAGTCTGTCCTCTGCCCGTTGTCCTACATTGCCCAAATTTCCTCAGAAGAATTCTAAGTTCGATCCGTTGTAACCTCATAGAATGGTTTCCATAATCTTAGAGGAATTTCCACAGTGTTTCTTTTTTCCTTACTTGCCCAGATTTCTTCAGATTTCCCTGCTTCTCCTAAGAGACAGTTCCTTTGTTTCCCATTCCCCCCCCACCCCGGAGTCTGTCTGTCTTCAGACTTGGACTGTGGGTGTTACCCACCTCCAATTTGCCCACAACAACCGATGCACTACTCTATCTCCACAGATCATGGCTGACAGGAAAGATACCAAGACCTCGATGAACGGGATGCTGTTTGACCATTCAAAGCTTGTTGATGTCCCATTCCAAGGTACTGTCTGACTATTGGCTCAGAAACAGCTCTGCTGTAGCACTGAAACAAAAACAGAAATTATTGGAGAAACTCAGCCGGTCTGGCAGCATCTGTGGAGAGAAAACAGAGTTTATGTTTCTGGTCCAATGACCCTTCTTCAGACCTGCAGACTGAAACATTAACTCTGTTTTCTCTCTACAGATGCTCCCAGATCGCTGAGTTTCTCTGACAACAAGGTGCAGAGCTGGATGAACACAGC